TTAAACACTTATTAAATGCCTACTGTGTGTCAGACACTGGTAATAGGCCTTATTTTTCTCATCTATAAAAATAGAGGCCAGTAATGTTAATAATAACAGTGCCTTTCTGTCATTCTTACCCTATTATAAGATTGAATGGATGCCTTATACATACCTGAGGTTATATTGTAATTATTTACTATAGAATATTAAGTTCCTGAGAATGAGGCATTGCATTGTGTTCATTCTGTTATTTCCTAGTACTGTAGTAAAATGATTGTTCTTTGCCATACTAAATCATCAAACTATGCGAAAATGCTTTTTTAAACTATAAAGAGATGTATAAATATAAGATCATATATTCCATAGTCATAGAAATAGACAATGTGGTGGTTTTCAGACTGTTTCTTAGAACCTAGGGTTCCAGAGGTGTCTCAGGGACTGCCCACACAGTTCCTGAGGTACACAAGGGAGAGGTAGAGATTCCAGACCCTATACCAGCACAATTCAATGAGAACAACCCCATTTATTTTACTTGTTTGGCTATGAAAAATGTTTGAAGAGTATTGTCTGATTTGTGTGTTTTTAAGCCATCATAATTTTGTTTTGTGATGATTTGTGTAATCCATCGTCGTTTATGATATTGACTTTTCCCATCTCCATTTAACAGACAGATGTGCTGGTCCTGAGCTGTGATCTGATAACAGATGTTGCTTTACATGAGGTTGTGGACCTGTTTAGAGCTTATGATGCATCACTTGCTATGTTGATGAGAAAAGGCCAAGATAGCTTAGAACCTGTTCCTGGTCAAAAGGGGAAAAAAAAAGCAGGTAAGGAAGATTGGGGTTTGTTTTTTTGTTGGGTTTTCATAATTATTATTGTCATTCATGCTTTCCCTGAAAAAACATTTATTAAGAATCTACTCTGCACCACAGATGCTGTGCTAGGAGTTGATGACATAAAGTCAAATAAGACACAGTCCCTGAATGGAAAATGCTTATAACTATTGATTAGATTCTTTAATGTCCTTTCGTATGCAGAGGGGAGCATTCAGAACTATTTGCATTGTATTTAAGACTCAAATAATTGAATGCATATATCGAAGAAACAAACACAGACAAATCTAATTTAAAATTAACTTTTAAAAATAGGCCAGGTGCAGTGGCTCACACCTGTGATCCCAGCACTTTGGGAGGCCGAGACTGAGGGTGGATCACAAGGTCAAGAGTTTGAGACCAGCCTGGCCAGCATGGTGAAACCCCGTCTCTACTAAAAATACAAAAATTAGCTGGGCATGGTGGCATGTGCCTGTAATCCCAGTTACTCAGGAGGCTGAGGCAGGAGAATCACTTGAACCCAGGGTGGGGAGGTTGCAGTAAGCCAAGATCATGCCACTGCACTCTAGCCTAGGCAGCAGAGCAAGACTCTGTCTCGGCGGGGGGGGAAAGAATTAAAGTTACTATCACAAATTTAGTGTGGCTGGTTCTTTTCACCGCTTCAGTCACCCTGAATGACTAATAAATGTGATAGTTCTTTCTTTTTCTTTTTGTTTTTTTGTTTTTGTTTTTGTTTTTGTTTTGAGATGGAGTCTCACTCTGTTGCCAGGCTGGAGTGCAGTGGCAAGATCTCAGCTCAGTCCAGTCTCCACCTCCCAGGTTCAAGTGATTCTCCTGCCTCAGCCTCTCGAGTAGCTGGGACTACAGGCACACGCCACCACACCCAGCTAATTTTTGTATTTTTAGTAGAGATGGGGTTTCACCATGTTGGCCAGGATGGTCTCTTATCTCTTGACCTCATGATCCACCCGCCTCTGCCTCCCAAAGTGCTAGGATTACAGGCATGAACCACCGTGCCCGGCCGATAGTTGTTGATCATGCTTATCTTCCTAGGATTATAACATACTTATTTTAATTTTAACATACTTATTTTGATATTTATTTTCCGAGGATTCTAGTAGTCCTTTTATGAGTTTGAATTTTTCCTGAATGATGTGTTTTTTTCCTTGAAGTTTTCCTCTGGAATTAGGTTTTGCTTTGCCAGCATTATGTAACCCACTATTTTGTCATTATTATATATTGGCATATTTTGTTACAATTATTAGACTATGTATAGCTTATTAACTTCTTACTATTATTAATAAATAGAGCCACTTAGAACCTTCATACTTAGGATTTGAATACTCTAGTTAATATTTTTAGCTCTCCTTTTTAGGACGTTTGGTTAAATTATAATTTTCCAGTATAATGTTGAAACTTGTTTCTAGTTGCTTTTTGTGTTCAGATGATCACTGGTGCAGATTAGTTGTTGGATACTTTTTCTACATTATTGTTATGTAATGGTACTCATGCTGATCAGTCTTTTTGTTCTTCATATGGTTTCTGCTTTTGCAAGCTCTGGTTTACTTACAATTCCCTGTATTCATTCTTTTCTGCCTACACAGATAGAAATAAATATATAACCAGATTTTATAAACAGATAAATGTTTTATAATGAATTTTTTTTGTTTCCTTTGTCTGTACTCTTATTTATAAAAATCAATTTAAAAATAAACTTATCCTTATTCTTGTCATTAGAACTTTTCTTTAAATTTTCTCCCTTTTCATAGGCATTGATAGAACTTTTTAATACACTTTATATATAGTTTTTATCTCTTAAGTATCATTATAAATGCACAGATTTTCACAGTTCCCTTTCTTTTATTGTAAATTAACAATTTATAATTGTATAAATTTATGGGAAACAAAGCGATGTTATAATTTATGTATACAATGTGGAATAATTAAATCAAACAAGTTAACATATCCATCCTTCAAATACTTAACATTTTTCATGGTGAGAACATTTGAAATTTACCCTCTTAGCAATTTTGAAATGTACAATACTCTATTGTTAACTATATTTACGATGTAATTCTATTTTAAATTAACTAACTATTAGCTACCTACCATTCATTTAAAAATATTTTCATGCTTAAATTGTCAGTTTGGCCAGTGAAAGTTCCTTTAAGCTGGATCCTTTATCCTCTTTGAAAAAGTGTGATGTACATTGGTAACTTTCTATAGCTGGAGTCTGAGTATAGGAGGCAGAGAAGCAGATAGGACTAGAGAAGAGCCAGATATCAGATGAAAGAGTTTGAATTCTTGCCCAAAACAGTGGGGGAGTTGTTGAAGTAAACAAGGTAATGTCATAATTAGATTAGATTAATGTTTTAAGAAGATTTTTCTTTCCTTTTCTTTCTTTTTTTCTTTTTCTTCTTTTTTTTTTTTTTTTTTTTGAGAAAGGTCTTACTCTGTTGCTAGGCTGGAGTGCAGTGGCTCAATCTTGGCTCGCTGCAACCTCCGCTTCCCGGGCTCAAGCAATCCTCCCACCTCAGCCTCCCGAGTAGCTGGGACTATAGGCACGCGCCACCATGCCTGGCTAACTTTTTGTATTTTTTGTAGGGACGGGGTTTCACAATGTCCAGGCTGGCCTCAAACTCCTGAGCTCAAAAGTGATCTCCCTGCCTCAGCCTCCCAAAGTACTGGGATTACAGGCATGAGTCACCACACTTGGCCTCTTTCTTTCTTTCTTTCTTTTTTTAAAGAGACAGGGGGCACCATGGCTCAGGACTATAATCCTAGCACTTTGGGAAGCTGAGGCAGACAGATGGCTTGAGCCCAGGAGTTTGAGACCAGCCTGGGTAACATGGTGAAACCCCATCTCAACAAACCATGTTTTAAAAATTAGCTGGACATGGTGGCATGTGAGCCTCTAGTCCCAGCTACCTGGGAGGCTGAGGTGGGAGGATCACTAGAGCCTGGGATGTCGAGGCTACAGTGAGCCATGATCATGCCACTGCACTCCAGAGCCTCACTCTGTCACAAACAAACAAAAAAAAAAAAGAGAGAGAGAGAGAGAAATTAGGTCTCATTATGTTGCCCAAGCTGGTCTCAAACTCTTGACCTCAAGCAGTCCTCCCACCTCAGCCTGCTAAGTAGCTGATATTACAGGTACCAGCCATCACTTCTGGCTCAAATTTTCATTCTTAACATGAAATTTTAAACTCCTCAATACCTATATTTTGTTACATTTGAAGGCTAAGATTCACCTAAATAACTGAGTTTTAAATTCCTCCCATAGCATGCTATGCATTTCCATCACAAGCATTTTTTAAAGGATCCTAAGTTTTTCAGATTATGTATTTGGCATGCCTCTTGGCTGCTGTTTTGTGCCAGAACAGCCTGCAGTCCACTGATTCCCAGATACGGTTTAATAGTCTAGATCTTCTACCCAATTTCCTCAAATGGTGTTCTTACTGACTTATAGGAGAATGACTAATGTCTAGATGTTTCTGGAGCCACCTTTCTTCCCCTTGCCACTTTCTTCTCAGAAGATTTATAGGAGATGTAAATACTAAAGAGGGCAGAATCAAATTCATGTTTAGACTTTTTAGAGTATTTCATTCCTGCTACAGGTCTTTACACAGCTTTACACAAGGCTGTAAATGCTCTCTAGCCCCTTTCTCCTCCCAACACATATATTCCAAATCCAGCTTAGCCTTCAAGTTATTTTCTGAGAAAGACCTTTCCTGACCTTTTAATATAAATTATATCTTTTTGTTGGCCTACATATAGCAGCTTGCTCTCTTATTTACTCTTTCCCCTACTGGACTATAAGCTCCATAAGGGAAGGGATCATATCTCTTTTGTTTATTTTATTCCCAGCACCTGGCCCAGTTATGGCCCATGGTGAGCAATCAATAAATATTATTGAATGGCCTGCTTATAAAGGCAGCTCTTCTTGCCCCCCCTGCCCCCACCCAGGTAAGTGAAGGTAGACCTGAGCACTAGCAGTTTAAAATCCTAAAGATGTTAATCTGAGCTGTAGTTGAATTCATGAGTAGATATTATAAGAGTGTGTGAGCTTGTAATGCTTTTAGCAATATGGATCTAGCAGACTAACTACATTGTCTATTAATTTTGTGTTTAGAAATGGTTTCAAGATTTTTAAATAAATACGTAGCACTGTACCATGATTGTTAAGAGCACAAGGTCTAGAGTTCAGACTGGGTTTCAGTACTCAAAAGCTGTGGGATTTTGGGCAAATTACTTTGATCTTCATGAATTTCATTTTCTTCTGTTGTAAAGTGAGCCTGAATCCTTTCAGGATTTTTGTGAGAATTAAGTATCATGGTTATAAGGCATGTGGCCCATTCATTACCTGAAAGATAGTAGATGCTTAATAATTTGTAATTGCTATTGTAATTTGCTACTGAAACTTAACAAATCTCATTTAATAACTTTGTAAACATTTTATATCACATATTTATTTCATGTAAAATGGCAGTGCTTTAAAAGCCACAGAATATCAGAGTGTTTTTGTTTGCATTTTACCATAATAGCTTGTAAGTTTGAAGGGAAACTCATAGTGGCAAATGTCTAGACAAGCCTCTTTGGAAGGCTCACATGTAACTTTTTTTTTGAGACAGAGTCTTGCTCTGTTGCCCAGGCTGGAGTGCAATGGCGGGATCTTGGCTCACTGCAACCTCTACCTCCCGGGTTGAAACAATTCTCCTGCCTCAGCCTCCCGAGTAGGTGGGATTATACGCGTCCACCACCATGCCCAGCTAATTTTTTTTTTTTTTTTTTTTTTTTTTTTTTGTATTTTTAGTAGAGACAGGGTTTCACTATGTTGGCCAGGCTGGTTTTGAACTCCTGACCTCAAGTGATCCATCCGTCTCAGCCTCCCAAAGTGCTAGGATTACAGCCGTGAACCACCGCACCTGGCCCACATGTAACTTTTCTAGTGATTCAAACAGCCCTGTGTTTCTAGCATTTTCTAGAAGGTACCA